GGGGCGATCAGGCAGGCGGCAAGCAGTTAGGAGCCAGCGGTCCCAGATTGTGAGAGGGATGATCCTGCAGGATCGGGCCTAAACTGGCAGTCAGAAACCCCCCAGAATACTATGCTGCTGTAAAAAAGAAAGAATTCTTACTATATGCAACAGCATAGATGGATCTGGAGAGCACTATGGTAAGCGAAATAAGCCAGTCAGAGAAAGATAATATCACATGATCTCATTCATATGTGGAATATAATGAACAACATAAACTGATGAACAAAAATAGATACAGAGACATAGAAGCATGAGAAGACCAGCAAACTTCAGAGGGAAAGCAGAGAGGAGATGGGGTGGTAAAAGATCAACCAAAGGACTTTTATGCATGCATATAAACATAACCAATGGACACAGACACTAGGGGAGTGAGGGCATGTGTTGGAGGCAGGAGCGAGCAGGGAGAGGTCAATGAGGGCCAGGGGAGACATATGTAATATTTTCAATAAATAAAGAATTTAAATGTAAAAAAAGAAAGATAAAAGGATAATATTGTTGATAGAAAAAAAATAAAAAGTAAAGAGAATACTGAACAATAAATGGGGCAGAAAAAAATTCTGAAAGGAAAGAATGGAAAGCGAAAAATAAGAGTAGAGAGTAGGAAAAGGAAGACTTAAAAAAAAAAGAAGATAGAAGAAAAAAGTTACGCAAAGGTAACAAGAAAAGAGAGACAGGTAATAAAAAGAAAGAATGGCTAAGAAAAAGGTGTTGGGTGGAGGGGCAGACAAAGATAGAGTAAGTAAAGGAAGGGGACCAGTTAGACATATGAAAGAGTCCTAGCTGGTTTTGCTCAGTGGATAGAGCATCTGCTTGCGGACTGAAGGGTTCCAGGTTCGATTCTGGTCAAGGGCACATGCCTGGGTTGCAGGCTTGATCCCAGTGATGGGGGCAGGTGCAGGAGGCAACTGACCAATGACTCCTTCTTATCATTGATGTTTCTATCTCTCCCACTCCATTCCTCTCTGAAGTCAATAAAAATATGTTTAAAATAAAAGAGAGAGATGAAAGAAATAAAAGATTAAAGCAAAACAACTTAACAATTACAATAAAAATGTCAAAGTAATAAGGCAGAAAAAATAAAGAAAACATTGAAAAAAAGAACAACAAAAGAAAACAAACAAAACAAAAATTTTTTAAGCCAGCCAAGTGAAGATTGTCTGGGCAGCTTATGTTGTCTGTGGCTCATTGTTTTGTATGCTCATTTGAGGCCTTCTGGGAGGTACTCTTGTGTCAGCCCATGTCAGGAGCTGTCCAAGTTTGGCTCTCAGTATCCTCTTCTAGCTGGCTAGTCTAAGGCTCTCTGAGGACCCCTTCCTGTCAGCTACTCCTTCTGAACCCTGCAGTTGCTTTGGTCTTTTTCCAGTGTCTTCCAAAAAGAAGGGTAGAGGCAGGCGAGCATAGCTAGGGCTAGAGGACCCCTTATTTAGAGATTGTACCTTTAGGCATTCATTGAGAGGAAATGAATCTCTGCCTCAGAGCCATATTCCTCAATCTCTACCATATCCA